CGGAGCTGCGCGCGCAGGAGGAGCTGGCGCTGGATGCCTTCGGCGACATCTTATATGGGGCGTACATCCACTTCCTTGGCGGTGCGGTCGCGCCGTTTATTATGCAGGTGCCGCCGCAGGTGGTGCATGCTCTCACGGAGGGCGGCGTGGCGGAGCTCATGCGGGTGCTGAAGCTGCAGCCGGAACCCGGCGTGGGCGGAAGCGGCGAGGGGGCGGAGGCGGGTGCGATGGTGTACAAAATTCCGCCCCGGTTCAGGACGCCCCTCACGCAGATGGACGACACCGCGGCAGCCTGGATCCACAAGCACTTTGCTGCTCGCTGGGAGGCCGTGAGGCAGGCCTTCTTTTCTGGAGGCGTGTCGGCGTGCGTGCCGCCTGCAGGTGCGGTGGCGGAGCAGCCGGAGCGGCAGGCCAGCGACGACGGCGGCGCCTACCTGCAGGCGGCAGTTGCGGTCGTGGGAGGCGGAGACGACACCGCCAACTCCGGTGTCTCCACGCTGGAGCTGTGCGTGGCCCCCGTGCCTGGCGTGGCGCTGAGGTGCCGTTTGTGTGTCTGATCCCTCTGCTTCCGACTGCTGCTCCCCGCCATCCTCCCGCTGAGCGTCACAAACGGGGTGCGATTGCGTCGATGCCACGAGTCGACCAGATGGTGGCTGTGCGTGCTGGGTATGCGGCTTGCTGGCTGACGCAGAAGCATGCGAGGGATGCGGAGAACCACACGGTACGCATGGGCGCTCCCGCAGCGATGTATCGCGCAGCTGTGTGGGGCGACCGCACTGACACGCGGGGCGATGCACATAACCACCCACTTTGTTGCTGCTGCCGGGTTGTGCCCACATATGTTCAGTGGAACTCCCGGCATCGCTGCTCAAGGGATGTCTGCAGCTGTTGCCGGCGAGGCTGGCCATCTTCTTCTCCCTTTTTCTGCTCTCTGTGCACCGTGTCCGCCGTTGTCTCTCCCTTTTTCTCTGCCGTAGGAATTCACAGGCGACACAGCAGGACAGTCGCAAGGCAGCGGGTATGGCGGTGCGTTGGGGGCGGCGAGGCGGCCGTGCGCAGTTGGGCTTGCGGCCCTCTGCTGCGCCGTCGTGCCTTGCTGTTGTCTCTCTTCTTGTGCTGCTGTTGCTGCTCGTTTTTCCATGTGCCGGTGCCAGGTCCGCAGTTTCCAGGGCGTCGTTAAACTTGTGGCTTTTCGCTTCAATGATCCTTCACTTGATAATTTTTCTAGGAGCATCGTCGCCGGGTTGAATGCTTCGTTGCACTCGCGGAAGTTCACTGCGGCGGACGGTGTGCGTGCGGAGATTGCCTACAAAAGCGCAACATTCACCACTTACCCATCTGAACTCTCTGCGGCGTTGAAGGACAGGCGCACCCACGCCGTCGTTGGCCACTGCGGTGACAAACTGTTGGAGAGTGTAAAGGACGTTCTTGCATGACACGACGCCGTTGCTTTTGC